AAAGAGTGTTTCCCATAGCAAATTAACTGTGTCAGTCATTCAAATTTTTATTTTTTTTTTCTGAAGCAAGACAGCTCTTTAGCATCAATTCAACTCTACCATGGAAAGGGGGATGAAAACAGAAGCTATTAAGCGTAAAGGGCGATTGTCACTCCTCTCTGACCTCTTTGCCACGGTGAGATTGGCAGAGCGGCGTAGAACGACCTTGAAATACCTGATCCTCGCTGGGAGGAAAACCCAGATGAAAGCAACGCAGAGGATGGTTTTGGAAGCGCTGGAATAGTGACGTGTTGCTGTGAGAATGGTCAAAGATGCTTTTTCCTTGCAAAACCATCAGGTTTTCTAGGGATTTCATGGCTGCGTGCCTCTCTGTTGTGCAGTATGGCAATAAATGGCATTATTATGGGAATTTTGAGCTCTCGCTTTCCAAAGTGAGCGTTCAGATCGGTTGGGGTTGTAGCAAACTACTGGGAGGCACCTTCACCTGCACTTTGTGCATCTCGTGGATCAATGGGAATTCCTTGAGTGGTCTTTGATGAAACTATTGAGGATTGTCCTCTTTGGGACCTTTTTTCAGATCCTGTGTCAACCCGCCACCACCTAGGGAGGGAGGACATGAACTGGGCAGCTTCTGGAAGAAGGAGGGTTGCACCATCTGGAAGCTCATATCCCAGAGTTTTGGAAATCACAGAGTAGAGCTATCGTCAAGCCAGTGCAGAAACTAGCGCGATAGCACCATGGAGGAGTAACTGAAAAAGCCTTAGGGTGAACGAGCAGTGACTTTGCACCCTTAGTTGTAGAGTTAAGGTGATCAGATATGACGCTTCTGGGATTACGGTGGCAGCAATGGCTTTTGAATGAGTTTCCTGCTCTTGAGGACTCTGTTATCTGGGTCGCACTGGAGGCTTTGGCCGTGGGAGTCTCTATATACACTTGGAGTAGTTCACAGTGTTTGGTTAGGTACCTATTGCTGCATAGGTTAAATCCTTACCAAACTTGATTTTGCAGTAACGTCATTACCTTCATCGGTGTGAGACCTGGCATGTAATTAATTATATCTTCACAGCTGTACCTGCGGTGTGGCCCCTAGCTGGCAGAAGAGAGGATTTAGCTGTTACACATTAGAAATTCATGAAGTAGATGCATAGATTTTGTTTATCTACTTCTCTCATCCCCTATGTGGCTGATCACGATGCCATGCCTATAAATTAGGGCATGTGCTTATAGCAAACCCTAGAAGGATATATCCTTTAACCTCAGTGGGTTTATTGAGAGAATGAACAAAGCTAAATTGTTAATCAATTTAGGCTAGAATGGCATTGTTCTGGTAATAGGCTGTAACAGCCCTTTCTTTATTGGCTTCAAGTTCAAATTTACCCGAAACAATGGCTTTTAATTGTGGTGTGCTTGAGGCGAGCAGCAGCACTTGGGAAGGAAAGGGGAGAGAGGAGGAGAACTCACTGTTTGCATCAGTCTCTAGATTTAGCAACTTCAAAATCAGGATGAGCAACTGGGTTTGGGTTTTTTTTTTTTTTCCTTTAGTGGAAAGGCTGTGCTAAAACTCTCCAGACAATGCACTGGTAGGTCTTCTGTGGCTTTGTAAGAGTCTCTGCAGTCTTATCGAAAGCAATACAAACCAATTTTGAGATCCATTGATGACCTCTTGGAGATTAAGGTTTAATGTATTTTATAAACCAAGCCAGCCTGCTTACCTTTTCTGGTGAGTAATGAAGAAAAGGCAATCTGCATTTTCTCTTTTGTACTTGGGATGAAAATATAAATATATGCAACACCTCATTGCCGGCATATAGTGTACCTTTATGTTGCAATACTTTGGAAGCAAGTGCTGCAAAGTGATTAGTCCTAAGTTATCAGCTACTCTCGACTTTGACTTTTTGTACTCGGCTATTAGCAAGAGGATTGCTTTAAATTTATTAGATGGTAATTAGATAACAGCTTTGAGTCTTTGCATAGTTGTGCAGTTCATGTCTCTGCAGGAACTTTGTCAGTGTATACTAATTTGTATTTGAAAAATATACATGGCTAGTATTACTTGTGTTATTATTAAAAACACATGGATTTATCTGGTATGCTCCAGCACTCAGATTTGGCTCTTTCCCCAGGAGATGCCATTGCTCGCTGTCTGATTTTCTTGTGTTGGCGTTGTGCTTTTCGGGGGCTCCCAGAACTAGAGGGGAGTAGCTAAATACACAGAATTCTTTTAAATATTTCTCTTTGAAGCAGGCTCTCTTTTGTGAGATCTTGATCCTTTTCATTGCTTCTCTTTTGTCTTTGTCTTACAAAAAGCTGAAATAGGCAGCGCTCAAGGCTGGAGCCCTTTGAATAGGTGTGCTGTAGATTCAGCTCCCTAACTCCCTTTTTTCTCTTTGATTCTTAAATACTGCAGTCCACTTAAAAATCAGTGAAGAAGTTACACCAACTGTCCATAACACTGTTTCCACCTGGTAGTATGGAAACAAGGCTTGAATAGTTTGTATATGCACATGATTGTATGTATATATTTTCAAATCTCAGTTTTGTAAAGAGATCCTTGCAATTGTTTTTCCACCCTGGAGGTTTTAAAGTCAGTGTTGTAGCTTTATAGGTGCTAAATGCATTATCTATACTTTTCCATCTGTGTGTATGTGGGTTTATGCATCACAGAGAATAGTTAAAGGACCTTGCTTTTTTGTATTCTCAGGGTGTAGCAACTGCTGCTTGCAGAGTGGTAGATGTAACACCCAAGTACAGAAGTGCTTCTTGTAGAGTAGCATCGTGTACTGCCAAGTTAGCAAAGACAAACGGGAATCGATACTTTTCCATACTTTATGGAATCTGTGTTTTGCATCTGAGTGATAAAATTATAAATATGCACAAAGCGTTTAGTAAGGCAAAAGACCTCAGAGCCTGGTGGTGTTGGTAGTGGGTTACCCGGGGGTAGGAATCTTCTGGCGTACATGGTGAGAGTAGTTATAGTCCATAGCCCAGTGTATGTCAGGAAAATGTCCCACCTTGAAGTAGAATCCCAGACTGGTTTGGGTGGGCAGGGACCTCACAGCCCATCCAGTCCCACCCCCTGCCATGGGCAGGGACACCCTCCACTAGCCCAGGTTGCCCAAAGCCCCATCCAGCCTGGCCTTGAACACTGCCAGGGAGCCAGGGGCAGCCACAGCTTCTCTGGGCACCCTGGGCCAGGGCCTCAGCACCCTCACAGGGAAGGATTTCTGCCTCCCATCCCATCTCCATCTCCCCTCCTGCAGCTTCAGGCCATTCCCCTTGGCCTGTCACTCCCTGCCCTTGTCACCAGTCCCTCTCCAGCTTTCCTGGAGCCCCTGTAGGGACTGGAAGGGGCTCTAAGGTCTCCCCGGAGCCTTCTCTTCTCCAGGCTGAACCACCCCAACTCTCTCAGCCAGCCCTCATAGGAAGAGTTCCTTTGTTCCTGGCGTGTTTTTCCTCCACGAGTTACTCATGTATTCCCTTCCTCAGCCTTCGCTCACTGACAAAGCCAAAACATTGTGTAGGACATGTCCTAGTTATCAGTGCCCAACGAGACACCATTGCATATGGTGCAGGCAGGACCCACTTGAAGGGACGAGGGATTTTTGTTTGCTTTTTTTAACTGGAGCTGGAAGATTATTTTAGCTTTCTCTATTGAATGTAAAGATAAAATTCCAGCTTCAGTTTTCTATTAGTGCTTAGTATTTATTTCTGTTTGTCTTGGAGCGTCTCTCTGCGAGAGTGTTGGTAGAGTAACGTGGATCTGCTAATGCCCTGTCTGTACCAGGCAGTACGTGGGGTAAGAGCTTAGATCCTATTTCTTTTGCTTTCAGAGATATCAACTCTGATTTTTATTTTTTTTCTTTTTTAATATCCTCTATTTTTTCATAATGGCAGCAGCTTCTAAAGCTTAGTAAGGAATCCGAGTAACTTACAGATAAGGATTTAACTAATAGACAATCAAATAAATTTGACTTTGGTTATTTTTTAAAAACTAAATCCTGTGTTTTGTTTTTGCATTGCTGAAATATGATTAAATTAGGTTGATATTGAAATGCTCTTTTTTTTTTTTCCCATCTCTCTTGATAGCATTTCTATGGTGAATGATTTAGTAATTGTTTCCAGAGAAAATTGTTCAAAGAGTTTTCTGAGCAGAGGCTCTTTGAGAGCTTGGCAGATTGCATGCGGCTGTTTTTAGCTTGAGAGACTTGCTCAGGTTTCCAGTCTGTTTACTCTTGGTTGCATGCAAAGCGCTGTCAGTGTTGAAGTGTTGATATAGTTTGATACCTAGCTTTTCTGCGGATATTATTTTCAAAAGGATGCATTTTTAGACAAAATTACTAGATGTTATTGCCTATAATTTGGAATTTGCATCTGTTTTTGCAAATTCCTGGTCAGTAGATAAATAATTTAAATTTTCAAAGATTTTGAAGCCATATATGTGTGTGTGTGTGTGTGTTTATCTACATCTCTATCTACATCTGTCTGTGTCTTCATAGAAGGTACAAATGCTTCCTGTGCTCCTGAAAATGGGAGTTGTTTCTTCACTTGCTTAAATGTAAATCTCCTGCAGAACTTCAGTAACTGGCTTTTAAACATCTTAAGCTAAATTTTTGGGGTTGAAAAGTATTATAATAAATTAATATGGAGGAAGAGGAAGGTGGTTTTCAAAATCTGTGGGTTTTGCCTTTTTAATTTGGATCAGAGATGAACCTTAGAAGTGCTCTATGGAAAAGATTCTGGAAAACCATTTTGACTCAGTCAAAATATTGAAAAAAAAAAAAAAAATTAGATGATAACATTAACAGATCCCTAGGAAAAGACACAGCAAAAGATTCCAAGATACTGATTTTGGGAACTTATGATCTTGCTTCCTTCTCTTTTCTGCCAAATTTGATTTTGTAGAATGTTCTTGTTTTACTGACACTGTGTTTTAAGTAGGACAATTTAATTTTGCCAGAAGGCTGTGATTTGCTCCAGCCATGTGCCGACGATGGAGTGTACAGCCTCCCTGGGTAGGGATCCTGTTTGAGGTGCCAGTATGTGCTCTGCCAGAAGGTGATGTTTGGGCATCTTCAGATATTTGATGTCTTCCTTCCCTGGTAATTTATTTTTCAACTGTTTCTGCTATACTTCAGCTATTTGTTAAAGCTGATCTGGAATTTTTTCACTAATGCATACGAGATGGGAGCGTGTATCTGAACAGCCTGGCTCTTGGTTTTGTCTTCTCCCCACACGTGCTCCTGCCAGTCTCCGTGCTGAGGCAGGAGATGCAGTATCTCAGTGCCTGGTGTTTGGGACCTTCTCCAGAGTCTTTTCTACTGTCGAGTTGTCACCTACCATTTGTAGGCGCAGAGGGGAAGGGATGTTTGTAGGGTAGTCCTTGCACCATCCTGGCAGCGGGGACCACTCAGTTCTTTGACTTCGATTGCTTAACATGGGATGATGTGAGGATGGGAACAGGGAACCGAAGATGGGGGATGCCGTGCTCTGACGTTGTCCTGAGTTTTGCAGCCCTTGATGCATGGGGAATTAAGGTCTTATTTTGCATTAAAGGGTGATGGGGATCAGACCTTCACGAGGACTTTGTGAAGAGTCAATACAGACAGGGCAAGGGCTTCTGCCATTCATTCATCTGAACTTCTTGTAAGAATTGTGTAGTTCATCTAAATAAATAGTTCAGGGATAACTTTAGCTTTTCCGTTAGGGAATTCCTTTTGCTGACTGGATGGTATTAGTGTTTGTTTGTGGAGGAAGGTCTTTTTTTTTTTGCCTTAGGGTGCCAATTTGAAACAATACCATCAATCTGATAGAGAAATGATCCCTCTCAACTATTGTTCTTCACCTACGGAGACTTTAACAGGAGAATCCAAATTGACCAATTGTTTTGTGTTGTGGTGGTGTTGGGTTTTTTGTAGTGGCTCTTAAGTAAATGAAAATCTAATGATGGATCTTTTAAATTTAGCAAATCCTTTATGAATGTTTAATACTGTTGGAGACTAATGCTTGTCTTTATTTTTTTTATTTACAGGCTCACTGGACTTTCAGGGTATGTAACAGATGGGCCTGGAAATTACAAATACAAAACAAAATGCACCTGGCTCATTGAAGGAAGGTGAGTGTAGTAAACATCTTGGGGTTTAGTGTTACTTATTGTGACTTTGAGGTGCGGTTTATCTCTATTGAGGATTTTTAGAGCTCATGATTCTTTTTTGCTGTTCTTAAAACTAGATATGGCAGCACTTAGTTATTCGTGGTAAATAAGTTTGGGATTTTTGTGCAACTGAGCCCTCCAAACTGATTTGTGAATTTGAGGTTTGCTGTGTGAAATACCCTTCACGTTGAAACCGTGTGTGGAAAATGAGAATAAATGCATCTGTGTAAATAAATAAAAACCCTAAAAATTATTTAACTGTTGTCCTTGTGGGCCATTCAGATGCTTGGGATTCACTATGTGTGGGATTTTTTGGCAGTATGAAGAAAATAGAGCAAACTCTATTAAAGCCCTTATTCGTGAAGAATCAGTTTCTGTAATGATGCACCTCAGGTGCTTGTTTAGTTCCTAGACCATGAGGACTTCAGAGGGACTATTGACCTTTATTGCAAAGGCTTTCCAAACTGCAAGAAGTCCTTTAGACCTCTTCCCCTCGTTTCCCCATCATTCCTGTATTTGATCCTTATATTGCTTCTGGTGATTTCTGGCAGAGATTTTAGGAGTAGCCCATTTAGTGCATCTCCTCTGACTGTC